GTTATAACTGAGCGGAAAGGACATGGCAGACAAACATACATGTACAGTTATAACTGAGCGGAAAGGACATGGCAGACAAACATAAACCTAGTTATAACTGAGCGGAAAGGACATGGCAGACAAACATAAACCTAGTTTTAACTGAGCAGAAAGGACATGGCAGACAAACATAAACCTAGTTATAACTGAGCAGAAAGGACATGGCAGACAAACATACACGTACAGTTATAACTGAGCGGAAAGGACATGGCAGACAAACATACACGTACAGTTATAACTGAGCGGAAAGGACATGGCAGACAAACATAAACCTAGTTATAACTGAGCAGAAAGGGCATGGCAGACAAACAGACACGTACAATTATAACTGAGCGAAAGAACATGGCAGACGAACAGCCATGTACAATTATAACTTAGCGGAATGGAAATGGCACACACACAGACACGTACTGTTATAACTGATCGGAAAGGGACATGGCAGACAAATATGCACGTACAGGTATAGACATGGCATAAAATGCATTAGACATTATTGAGTATTTTGTTTTCAAAAGTGCCGTGATGAAAGCGATGTTTATCAAAGTAACTGCCAAGTAATTATGACAAGTGAGTTGGCCGCAAAGATTCACCAAACAATACATTTAAATTTGTATATTACATGATGATAGTTTTGTACTGCTTTGTCCTCTCTCTTCCATATTATCCTCCTCCTCCTCATCATAGGTAATGATCGTCATCGTCATAACCTTCTTTTTGTTCTTCTTGTTCTTCTTGTTCTTCTTCTACTTCTTCTACTTCTTCTTGTTCTTGTTCTTTCTTTCTTTCTTTCTTTCTTTCTTTCTTTCTTTCTTTCTTTCTTTCTTTCTTTCTTTCTTTCTTTCTTTCTTTCTTTCTTTCTTTCTTTCTTTCTTTCTTTCTTTCTTTCTTTCTTTCTTTCTTTCTTTCTTTCTTTCTTTCTTTCTTTCTTTCTTTCTTTCTTTCTTTCTTTCTTTCTTTCTTTCTTTCTTTCTTTCTTTCTTCTTTCTTTCTTTCTTTCTTTCTTTCTTTCTTTTCTTTCTTTCTTTCTTTCTTTCTTTCTTTCTTTCTTTTCTTTCTTTCTTTCTTTCTTTCTTTCTTTCTTTCTTTCTTTTTCTTTCTTTCTTCTTTCTTTCTTTCTTTCTTTCTTTCTTCTTTCTGTCTGTCTGTCTGTCTGTCTGTCTGTCTGTCTGTCTGTCTGTCTGTCTGTCTGTCTGTCTGTCTGTCTGTCTGTCTGTCTGTCTGTCTGTCTGTCTGTCTGTCGGTCGGTCGGTCGGTCGGTCGGTCGGTCGGTCGGTCGGTCGGTCGGTCGGTCGGTCGGTCGGTCGGTCGGTCGGTCGGTCGGTCTGTCTGTCTGTCTGTCTGTCTGTCTGTCTGTCTGTCTGTCTGTCTGTCTGTCTGTCTGTCTGTCTGTCTGTCTGTCTTTCTTTCTTTCTTTCTTTCTTTCTTTCTTTCTTTCTTTCTTTCTTTCTTTCTTTCTTTCTTTCTTTCTTTCTTTCTTTCTTTCTTTCTTTCTTTCTTTCTTTCTTTCTTTCTTTCTTTCTTTCTTTCTTTCTTTCTTTCTTTCTTCTTCTTCTTATTATTGTTCTTCTTCTTCTTCTTCTTCTTCTTCTTCTTCTTCTTCTTCTTCTTCTTCTTCTTCTTCTTCTTCTTCTTCTTCTTCTTCTTCTTCTTCTTCTTCTTCTTCTTCTTCTTCTTCTTCTTCTTCTTCTTCTTCTTCTTCTTCTTCTTCTTCTTCTTTTTCTTCATCATCATCGTCTACCCTCTCCTCTTTTTCCTTTACACTGTTCATAATCTTTAAAGCCTTCAAATCACCATACCTTTATTAGTCGCTCAACAGATTACATTTGGGGGGGGGGGGGGGGGGGGGGGGGGGGTTTGGTGAAGAAAGTCCTGTGCTCATGTAGGAAGAAAGTTATCAACATACTCTGAATTGTTTTGGTTCAGAATAAGTAAATACAGCATCGTATAATACTTAGACGTTGTTGTCACCCTTCAGGACCGTCTTGGAAAATGTAATCACACTGTTCTATCAAAGTCTGCACGATCTGTTCTGGAACCTGCGACCCCTGTATCAAGTTTTCGTATGTCCTAAACTCCAGTCTAATAAGTGTTGGCCACCAGCACTTGGCCAGGTTTCTGCTGTTCATACTGTTAAACTCCTGATATTGGGAAACTCTGTAAAACGAAATGAAGATGTTAGGATAATTAAAATAAAAACTAAAAAACTGAAGACAAATAAACTAAAAAAAAAAAAAAAAAACTACAACTAAAAAACCGCGAAATATGCAGTTAAATAGTATAACAAATATGGACATTTAGAATATGCACACACATCGTATTACAAGGAATGAGCAAAAAAAAAACAAATTCACGTATGGTTTTGAGAAGTCAATAGTGAAAGAACGAGTGCAACAGCAATTATGAAGTCATCTGTCAAGCCTTAATGAAGAAAATGACTACAAACTACCATATACAAACATTACTCAGACATCACATATCAGATCAGGTAAACCTTAAGCCAAGTTGGCAGGTTGAATCACGTGAGACTGATGCTTTTAATCAGAGAGAAAGGTTACAGAAAACTATATTTTGTTGACATTTAAAAAAGTTAGTTGTGTATCCTTTACAGGACGTTGCAGAACCAACCCCAGCATCTTTTGGCTTTTGTGGTTTTTCTATGCAAGTTTACGTCTAAAGGTTTGCCATTGCTTTCAGGGCCGTCGGCTTCTCGATACCACTGTCGAAACCAAAGCAACACCGGAGCCTAGCTAACAACCCAAATCGACACAATCTGATCACACTATAACAAATAACGGACAGAATCAGTGTGAGGCCCCACCTAACATTTCACACACATCACCATGACATGATTAACCTGTTATTTTTGGCAGGCAGGCAACTATAAGACCACTATGGTCACAAGCGGAATATTTTCATATATCGGGTCTATCTAATCCCAAAAACTGTTTTCAGTACTTTTCGGCAAAGTTAAATACTTACAATTTTAAAACTATAACTGATGGTGGTCTGACTTGGAGGAAAAAAGCATTAAGCCCAGAGGTGGCGCAAATACCAGAACTTTAGCCACGAAAGTGGCGCAAATAAACAAGACCACAAATATAGCCAGAGCTGTTGGCAGTTTCATTCACCTAGCTATCAGCAGGTTGAACGTGGTTGCGTTTTTACTTTTTCTTTTCTCTCTAAAGGAATTGGAAAAGGCGCAAGGCCCGCAGCTGGGATCGAACCAGGAACCCAGGCGTTATGAACTGCTTTGGCAACGTCTAAGCCACAGACGCCGACTTGTTGACATTATAAAAACGTTTCTACAGCTTGGAGAGAACGGCGATAAAGTGTGCAGTTTCTGGAAAACGATACAGAGGCTGCTCTTTGCGAAGGTTAATACAAGTCATCGAAGATGCAATGTCTATGAAAGTACATAGGGCTAAAAAAACTGGCAAGACAATGAGAGACTATCATCCCTGCATAGACGAGAACTACATCCTGTAAACGAAAATTTCTGTGGAAGAACAAAATTCGCCAGTGTGACATTATCCCCACCAACCAAAGTCAGTTGATCTATCAAACACCTGGACTAGTACTAACTACTGTTTCAAGGATGTTTTTTTTTTTCAGTTATGAATTTGCGTAACAGAATTAAAAAAGAGAAAAAAAAAAAAATTTCACAACTTATTGTCTGGCACATGTCGCTATATCTCGTACTACAGAGTTTAAATCAACACATAGTAGAGCATAGGTTAGTGGCGTATCCTTTACAGGACGTTGCAGAACCAACCCCAACAGCCCCTGGCTGTTGTGTGGTTTTCTAGGCAAATTTACGTCCAGTAGTTTGCCTTTGCTTCCTGGACGGTCGACTTTCTTGATACCACTGTCGAAACCAACGCGAGGCGCATGGCCCGCAGCTGGAATTGAACCCGGCATCCCGGCATTACTAAGTGTTCGCATCGACTTAGCCACAGAGCCGACTTAGTAGAGCATAACATATGAATAATTTAAATAGAAAGCGGAAATTCCGATGAGGTCTATCACGGCGAACATTATACCAAGAACAGTCCAAGATTAGCCCTGTGATTACCGTGGAAGTCCGACAGCGATGGCGTGAGTCTTTTCTTTATAACATTAATTTGCTTACTACTGTGACAGCTATAAACATATAAATCCTTGTGTGAGTTCCTGGATTTTATTTTAGAGGGTAAAATATAATGGACAGATTATCCTCAGTGTCTGCACCTCCACCTGCCGCCCTAAAAAAAAAAAAAAAAGTCATACTAGGCGACAATTTTTTTTTTAATGTGATATGTTGGGCCGAATGGCCGAGATATCACAGCCTATCTGTACATTACATTACAAAGTATCAACCGCCCTTTAAATAGCGAATACAGAAGTAAAACACACACACACACACACACACACACAGATACACACCCACAGACTTAATCTTACTTGTGCAAATGATCAATAATATACTTTAAAACAGCAAACTGTTGCACTGGTAATTTCTTGATTACCTCCCGCTGCATGGCAAGTTGACTGCTTTTATCAGTCACATCTGAAATTACAAGGAACCAAGTTTGTTAAGGGCGCCGGAACCTTTGGGCTTAGGTACTTTAAGCCCCTACACCTAAATAAACCCTTACTTCGCTCCTTAAATTTGTAAAACGGCTATACTGCACTCACCCCAACCATGCATAGACGTTTAATTTTTAATGTGTGTGTGTGTCTCTCTCTCTCTTTCTCTCTCTCTCTCTCACACACACACACACTCACGCACGCATACACACACGCACACACACACGCATACACACAAAAAATACAATTGAAAACAAATTACAACAGACAGTTTACATACCAGCTGCATTTGCCAGTTCATCATAGATGGCTGATGGTATCAACGCTTCATCGAGGTTATTAACAAAGCTTTTCAGCAAAGTTGCAACAACATGAACTGGAATTTCCCCCGTAGCCATATCTACTTCAGGATCTGCAATATAGAAAATGGGGTGGGCGAGGGGGAAATATGGTACTGATTTCAAAGTGAGACATTCTGTTGATTTAGATCCACATTAAACTGTGTATTGTCTCACTCCTATAAGTTAAAAATCTACCTAAAGTATTTCAGGATCCTCATCGGTGCTACAAAGTCTGTGCACTGTGCTGAGCTTCTTCGGACTCAGACTTGAGTTAAAGGAAGGACGGAGCACTTGTGGGTTGCTACCTGAGTGCTATGATGTTGATCCGTAGTTGAAACCTCAAACCTCACTCCTATAAAAGACATACTTGAGGAGGTCAAAGTCAGTAAAACAAACGCACGAGTTCGATGGTACAATGCAAAGCCTTGATCACTTCGTAGCGGAGAAACCCTAGGGATTATTTTAAAAGTGTATTGTCTGGTGACCCAGTATTTGTTACAGATGTTCTAGCTGCGTGGGTTCAGGGGTCCATTTTGAAGATGGCAGACTATACCCACAAGCCCCTCCTCCTCTCTCTCTCTCTCTAAAAAAATAAAAGAAGCATGTCGATGGAGGCAAATAATTATGCAGGTTTCTTTCAAAGTCGGCGTGCACGAGAGGTAAGCTACCCCGTAGAGTCATGATAGGTTGTCACATAACACATACTGCGATGTGAATGTTAGACATATACATATTCTAATTAATAACAAGTGAGGTGTGGTGGCCAGTTCCTTTCCTTTTCGCTTTCTCCTCTTAGATAATGTCCAGACATGTCCAGTCATTGTTCCAGCTTGTCCCTTCTCAATTCTTGCCAGAAAAATGAAGATAAGTTTCTGCTTCTTAGCAGCTAATTAGTTTTTGTGGTAAGTTAATTGTTTTTTTTAATTACGCTGTTTATTTGTCTACAATGTTCCTATCTACGAATACACACACACACACACACACACACATATATATATATATATATATATATATATATATATATATATATATATATATATATGTGTGTGTGTGTATATAAAAAGTAAAGTAAAAGTAAAGGACCCTTTTCACGCCTTTAAACGTATAGGGCATACAGGGGTAGACCTATATTTTTATAGACCAATCGTCACAAGTTGGGTGATATGGTCAGCATAACGCCGGTCGCCTTTACTTCCCGGGACTGCACCCAGTACCCATTCAAGGTTGGGTAGACCTGGGAGTCAAGGTCATTTTTGAAAAAAGTCCGGCTCTGCCAGGGAGCGAACACACAACCTTCTGATCCGCACGCGAGCGTCTTGGCGCTACGCTACGGCGACTTGTGTGTGTGTGTGTGTGTGTGTGTGTATGTGTGTGCGTGCGTGCATGCGTGTGTGTGTGTATGCATATTCCACACAACTGCATGCTAGCCTCCAGACTTTCCAAGACTTCTGTATCAGGACAAGCTCTATAGAAACCTTGAGAGTTCACTTCCTTGTATAACTTGCATACATAGATTGCTAAGCAAACATTTATTCCCCGTCTGGTATATACCTCTGATTCAATTTCCTTCCCAACAGTACTTTTTGTGTGTGTGTGCATCCATTTACTAGTCAACACTACCCCGCCGCCACCCCCTTTATTTTACCCTACTTATAATTAGCTGTTACCTGTAAATAAATGTATTTTTATTATCTGCCGATTTTTTTACGTTTCATTGTAATGTAAGATTACTCACCTGCTGAATACTTATTTAAAAATTGCTCTCCCAGAGATCTGTTACCAGAAATTCGGTATAAACCCTCGGTTTTTAAACCTGACAGAAGAAAAACGAGATCAATCCATTAGAACATGTGAAAGTTTTTGAACATGTAACTATAAACCTGCATTTTATAAAAGTTCTTGATTAAGGGAAACTTAAATTAGACCTTAAAAATGAAAAAAAAAAAAAATGCATACCAGTTAACTTCTACTCAAGTAAATATTAGTTATTTACATTTACTAATCAAATTTCCTTTGGGTCTACCACAGAGTGGCAGTGCTTCAAAAAAAGTAATGGGGTAATATTACTAGAGACGGGGAAAATGTCACTGTATAAACTTAAAGGTACTTTGACTCACTCACTCACACTCACGTACTCACTCACTCACTTACTCCCTCGCTCACTCACTCGCTCGCACACTCTCTCACTTACTCGCTCACGCACTCGCTCACTCACTACTCACACACTCACCTACCCACTCACTCACTCACTCACTCACTCACTCAATCAATCATTTCCTCAACCCACTCACTCCCTCATTTCCTCCCTCCACCCATCCACGCATGCATCCATCCGACCCTCTCTCTGTTTGTATCCATTTCTATCTCTGTCACTAGGTCTGTCTGTCTCTGTCTATTTGCCAGTCTGTTTAACTGTCTATGCATTTGTCACATGCAATTCTTTTAATTATATATGCATATAGTTACAAATAATAATTACGACGTTGTTAGGGACTACCAGGTCTCTATAAATCTCAAACATTCTGATAATATATCATATGTTTACCAGCCGTCAACAGCAAAATCATGACGCTGAGCAATTCTGTCAAAGTACGGTCACGACTACATTAGCTTAACTGTTTAAAAGACTATAGCAAATTATATGTACGTGTGAAAATACAAAAATAGTCCACATACTAACCCTGCGATTCTATATAACGAACACATTTAACCATAAAGTGCGGTATCATGGGAGTGTCTGGAAACGCTGGTAAACTTTCTAGAGACATCTGTTTGTGAAATGTTTCAAACATTGTGTCTTTTGTCTTCGATGGGCTTTGTGTGTCATGTTCCTGAAATAGAACAAATTTAGAAATGTAGATTAATCGGCATAATTTGTCGATTTAGAACAAGATGAAATCTTTGAGTAAGTAATCTTTGACACATGCGCTATGCTTAGAAGAGATTGGCACTGCAATATATCTAGGGTGCATTTTATCAGAAGATGAACACTAAAAAAACACTGTTTAGCACAATATTTTTACCAAAGTTATGCTATTAATGTCAAAGACAGACAAAGTTTTTAGAAAACAGAAGGAAAATAGTCACGACAGAAATCAAATGTTTACGTACCTTCCAGGTGTAATGTGGAAAGATCGAATTAGAAACGATGATATCAGCAGGATAGTCGGCACAGACTGACTGACTTTAAAAAAAAAAAAACCCTACTAGAACATCACCATGAGCGACAAACACCCAGTGACACAATGTGCCACCATTGGGAAAGCCTGTCCAACCTTTAGGTTATATAGGACCCCCGGCAACAACCAGCGTGGGGATTTAAAAAAAAAAAAACGAAAAATTCGTCCCAATCAAGGACGGGGATTATAAGATCGGCACAGAACCAATACTGAACTTTATAGGTAGACCATAAACCAAATGGTTTGGCTATACAACAAGATTGGCATCATACATGGCACCACGGACTGTAATGTTATGCAGATACAACGGTAACAGAGCCAGAAGTTGACCACGCAGAACATGGGCCACAGAAATATCATGGACACTGAAAAGCACCTTATATTAAGCGAACAGAAGGGCGCGCTCCAGTGGTCTCTGCCTGTCCTGACGCCGCGAGGCATTTTAGGAGTACAGAAAAGAAAAAGAATTGGAAGGCATTGCCACGTTCCGTAGTTTCCTAAAAATCATGTCTTGTCTCCCCCACCCCCCATCAAAGCCCTAGCATGATGTTGCAGCATCCTCGTAATACAAAAACAAAAACCGCTGTCATACTCTTGATCAGACGAAAGAATTGTGTATGCCTGGTGAAACACAGGAAGGATGTATTGAATTATACAACGATGAGTATATAAATGAATCATGTTGTCCCATTTTATGTTACATTGGGTTCGCCGTTTATTCCTTCATTTTCTTCTATCATAAACAATCCCTTCGAAATCATGGTTGGAATCAAGTCCAGCATCTTTAGCCTCTCTTACCAACGTTCGTTCTAATGTGTTTCTGTGTTGATGTGTGTTGTTGTTGATGTTGTTGTTGTTGTTCTTGATTGATTAACACCTTCGCTTTATCAATCACTTTATTTCCCATGTCAGTGTCTGGTAACTCATAGTTTCTTCTCATGATGTCGTCCAAAACAGCACCATCCTTTTTGTCTCATAACTGTTGCTACAAATAGCTGTCAAGACATTTCCTTATTTCTTGACTTCTCTTGAATTCATTTAACACTCAACATTCTCCGAAGAAATTTGTTTCCGCATTCATTTAATTTTTCGTTCTTTAGTGGTTCTTCAACTTTCAGCGGCATATATATTAAGACTGTAATAACTTTAGAACTGAAAATACCTAACCTGGTTTTAAAACTACAGAATTTACAGTTATGTATTATGTTTAGGATTTAAAAAGCTGCTAACACTTTCCCAGGAGAGTTTACAATTTATTTCTTTGTATTTCTGCGACTATCGAAATTACTTCATAAATAAGTAAGCTGATCTATTACTTAAATTGTTTCTCTCTCTAGTGTTACATCTGCTTGATCTGTTATTTTTGTCTTCAATATATTTGACTTTTCATAACTGATGTGTAGGGGACTTCGTGGCGAAGTGGTCAAGACGTTTTCCTCGCGCTCTGAAGGTTGTGGCCCTGTTTCACGGCTGCGCCGTTCAGTTCACGCGTGCAATTTTTACAGTTATTACCGGGGATCGTCGCCGGTGCTAGGGAGTTAGTGCTATGCGCGGCGCTCTTGGCAGGCGGCTAGCCGTTCTGCGTAGAAAGACCGAGCCATATGGGATAAAACTCGGTGCCATGAAGTCGATCCCCTCGATCTTAACCTTTAATGTATGTGTAGTCTACTGTGCCCTTGTTTTTAAAACAAGATATTTGTTTTTCCCTTTTACCCAGTCAATGGTTATGCTCAATAAAAGGGGAGATAACATGCATTTCTGTTACACTCCAGTTTCTAGCGCAAAATGAAAACTTAAACCATTATCTGTTCGTACCGCACACCCTGAACCTGCATACATTAAAAATTGTTTCATTAATTTTCTTAGTGTACCATAGCATTCTGGTGTACCATAGAATTCTAAAATTCCCCACAGTTATGTTATGTGTAAGCTTTCAAAAGCTGTCGATGAAATTTAAAGAAAAAAATGTTGTTTAATATAACCAACAAATAGTGAAAATTTTGAGTTAATAAATGTAGACTTCTGTAGAGGGGAGAACAAAGAAGTCACAAGAAAAGCCAATATAGCGTCGTGTGGAGCAATGAATAAGATGACCCGTTCATTTTTAGGAAAAACAAAGTAGATTTATCGTTGGCGAAGTGAACCAGTCAGTTTCGAGAAAAACGCGTTTGAACAGTGAGATCTCTCATTAAAAAAACAATGTGACAAAACAATTTTCGCGTGAAAATATTACTTCATTTTGATCTTCCTCGAGAAGAAATTTGCATGTATGCCTCTGGCGTAAAGTATGGTTGAAAACAGTCCACCAAAATATCTACTTTGGTATAAAGCGCCCCATCACCCATGACAATCAATACCTGCACACCCGCTAATTTACCTCCGCTTGATATTATTCAATCTTTATATTTCACTATGAAACTAAAGCTCCACCACAGAACCACCTGTTGTTGTTTTTTTTTAAATATTTTTTTATTTATGACGTCAATTTCTACTATACAAACCTGTTTATTTATTTATACAAACCTGTTTATTTATTTATACAAACCTATACATTCGACGAAGGCAACACCGACACTGTAAACGCTGTTGACTTAACTTACTACTCCCACTTTCAGTCAGTAGCACATGGGCAATTCGATACTGTGCTCGTATTTTTAAGACCAACTGACATTCAAAGAATGATGTAATCAACCTTGAGATGACCATCTTTAATGTCAAACAAATGTGCATTGCTCATTTTAGGCTGGATTGACCAGGGAGTCGTCAGTTGAAAAAATCAACAACAAAAACATCCGTCCTGATGTGAATTCGAATCTAAGACTCTCAGATGGGTAGAGAAGCATCTAACTACTGCTCTACATGATTCCAGATTGGGCTTTTGAATGCTAATCATCCAATATACAAAAATCCACTAAAGAATGCAGCCAAGGTCTAACCAGTATCAGTTCGTCTGTGCTGTAATAAATCTGCATATGGTGACACGTTCTCAGTTGCTTTGTCTCAGCTGTCAAGTCCCAGTTCATGTCTTGCAACACCGCACTCTGTGACGGAGTAGCTAGAGTTTAGCAACACAGTCCACGAGAAGAGGAGACACTGGTACTGGTTTTGGAAGAAGTTTCCACACAAATCTAACCCAATTTGTTTGCGCTCCAATTTCTAACTTGAGATTTCAAATTGACAATTTTGCTGAGATTTTACACCTAACGATCATAATCATTTTCACTGGTTGATATGACACATGCAATATTTGAGGTATTACTCGAAATAAGTCGTGTAGTACATGACAGAGTTACTGAGAGAAGGGAAATGGTGCTCCGACAAAAGACTCGATTGTGGAGACACAAGAAATGGCAGTGGAGACTCAAAAAAATGACATCTGTTGTCGTGTAGCAAGCACATGACACAGTTACTGGGAGAAGGGGAATGGTGATGCGACTCAAGAATTGATTGTGGGGACACAAGAAATGGCAGTGGAAACTCAAGAAATGACTGCTGAGACAGAAGAATTGATTACTCAGACACAAGAAGTGATTGCCGAGCCACAAGAAATGATAGTGGAGACACAAGAACTGATTGCTAAGAGAGAAGAAGTGAATGCTAAGACATAAGACTTGACTGACAAGATAGAAAACGTGATTGCTAAGACAGAAGAAGTGATTGCTAAGACATAATAATTAACTGAAAGGCACAAGAATTGATTGCTAAGGCACAAGAATTAATTGCTGAGACACAAATAATGGTGGTAGAGATATAAGAATTTATTGCTGAGACACGAGAACTGATTGCTGAGACACACGAATTGATTGCTGGGACACAAGAAACAGGGTTGAGACAAAAGAATTGATTGCTGAGACACAAGAATTGCTATATTATTGCTAAGACACAGGAAATGGTAGTGGAGAACAAGAAATGATTTCTGAGACACAAGAAATGGTAGTGGAGACACAAGCACTGACTACTGGAACGCAAGCAATGATTGCTGAGACACAAGAAAAGACTGATGGGACTCAAAATTTGATAGTGGAGTCACGAGAAATGATGGATAAGACGCAAGAACTGATTGATGAGACACCAGAAATGATTGCTGAGATACGAAATGTTCGCTGAGACATAATACATTACTACTGCACACACGAAATGGCTGTTGTGGAACCAACAAAAATCATTATTCATGTATAACAGTGTATTTAAGGAACCAAACCAAAACAATGTTTTCCCCGCTGAAAGTTTAAATAATTCAGACACAAACAATAAACTGCACAATTTACTGCCTGGTATATTTCGCTGTGTCTCAGGTGCATTTCTGCAGAGTTAAATCAACAAATAATGAAGCCTCCCTTACTTTTTCTTGCTGAAATACATAAAGCATATTGTCTAGTTGCTGTACATATATCTGCCGGAAAGTCAAAATCAGTCACATGATTATCATGGTAACTTTAAAGTGATCATGTGATCTGTCTGTTTTTATAACATGAGAAATGGTAGAGGAGAAAATTAATTATCGTAACTATTCGTAGCCAGGCATTATACAAACTAGAGTAATAATACAATGTGGTTTGAACAGGACACGTGCATAGCCGACAGGCGATCTCCAATAGCATGTATCAATTTGAGTGCTGCCCTCACACCATGTTATGCCTTGACAAAAGACT